TATAATTTTCTTGTAATTTTCAAATCATGTTTTTTTTATGATTGTCTACTGTTGTACTGATAAATATCTCCTGGAGGATAAACTATATCTTGGGTGCAAGTATCAAGCTGTGAAATCCTTCGTTTTCTACAACTGATAGTGGTTGGTCATTAATTATGATGAAGTTTAGCAGCTTCTCTGTAAACATTTGAGCTTTACCGTGTGTTTTTCTTGTTCCATCCGAAGCAGACAGTCTGATTTCGGTCAGCCGCGCTCAGTCTGTCCCTCCTCAGAGACGGGCAGACTGAGCGCGGCAGATTGGACACGGCTGGCCGGGGTCGGGCTGCCTGTTTCAGGTTGAGCGAGAGTAGCGCACCGCTGAAGACGCAAAGCTCGAATGTCCATCGTAAAACTAACTTTACCGCGGTTTAATGTGGCGCTATGGCTCTGCAGACATTGCACGTTGCCGTCTTGTTTTGTGGTGTTTAGTGTAAAATACTTCCACACAGCGGACATGTTGAGATGAAAAGTTTGTTAGCTGTTAGCTACATGCTGCTAACTCAGTCCTCACGTTGTAGCTGGCTGCAAACTATGAACTGGATTTCCTGAATGTGAGGCGGGTCTTTTTACTCTGGGTTCATGAGACACGCCGCCGTTCAGGAAATCCATTCCATAGTTTGAAGCCAACATGCAGAGCAGCTGGCAGGGAGTCACATGTGGAGAAGTTTCATCAGACACGGACATGCATCATGGATCGTAAAGATCCGATACGTAAATTATGCTGGTATCGAGATCGGATCGAGCCCATCCCTAATCTTATGTAAAGAATAAGGGGCCGCGCTCCTAGGAACTGCAGCCACGTGCACTCCGCCCATCTTTCGGTCGACTGTACTGAATACAGTTTTGCTGTACTTCACTGTGCAATGACAGTAAAGCTGATTCTGGTCTTGGTGATAAAACGGTTGTGTGTGTGTTTCTGTGCAGTCTGTGCACCATGCTGTCTCTGCAGTGGGAGCCAGAGATCATTGCGGTGGCTGTGATGTACCTGGCAGGCCGTCTGTGTAAATTTGACATCCAGGAGTGGACGGCGAAGCAGTCGTCACGCCGCTGGTGGGAGCAGTTCGTCCAGGACGTCCCAGTTGAGCTGCTAGAAGGTGCTAAGCGTAGAATTATTACTTTTGTGTCCTCGGACTTGTCTCGGTCTAAATGTGTCCCGTCCTCCAGACATTTGCCACCAGATCCTGGACCTGTACTCCCAGGGAAACAAGCCCATTCCTCAGCAGATACAGGAGAAGGAGCGGACGCCGGCTGCTCCCATCTCTGCTCCTCCAACACCACAGGGACAGCCCCCAGCCACCAACCCACCTCCCCCACCGCCAAAAAAGACATCTCCACAAGGTGGCAGCCCTGTGCGCCCGCTCAAACGCTCACACGTAAGAAAAATGTAACGAGTGAAGTGTAAGAGATGGAACAGCTCAGTTTATCCTCTCTAAGTTACTTTTGTTTTTGTTTCAGACGTCTCCTAAAGAAGAACCAAAGCCTCCAGGTAATCCAGCGTCAGCTTGAAACGATGCGTTTTAGATTACGGTAGTCCCTCACTTATCGCGGGGGTTACGTTCCATTCCCCCCGTGATATGTGAAAATCCACAAAGTAAGGACGTTATATTTATTTTAGTATTTATATATTTTAAGACTTTATAAACCCTTCCCACACTCTTGCAACGTTCTAAACTCTTAAACCTTCATCATTTTAACACCATGTGTATGTACTGCACAGTACTGCAAAGTTTTACATGGGTACTCACCAGGGAAGATACTACAACTTGAAGGAAGAGTTCAGCTTCAGGATTATTTAAGACGTTCCTTTCAGTTCTGTGATCTTCATAGGTACATCGTTAGTTCTGACTGCATTGCAGAACTATTTTCACCACCTCAGTTTCTCTGCTAGTGTTTGCTCCCTCCATCGCTCTTCTTTGAATTTCAGCAGGAAGCAGCAGCTAGGAGCACTATTGGCTTCTGGGCCGTGTAGTTCTTTTGACTTGTGTTACACTGTAGGCTTACTGAAAGAAAACTACAAAATGGCAGCGCCTGTCTAAATATTTTTTTGTTTTGTTTTTTTGTCCTATTGGTTTGGTCCCGCTCCCGTTAACTTTTTATCTCGTACCGTCCCAATCACGTGAGTAATATTAAAGTTGACAGTCGTGCGGCGTGTACAGTCTTATGTTGGAAATCCACAAAGTATCGAGGGACCACTGTATAAATCATTTCAAAACAATTATTTTTTTAAACCAGTCACTTAACGCGTTCTCGGATCATTTGCAGAACAAGTGGGGTCAAAGATTCCAAGACTGGAGAGCCCCATGCCCCCGCTGCCTGCAGCTCAGCCCCCCCCAGGTAAACATTAGTACATCTAACTTTGAATATTGGCAGAAAGGTTTACATGTGAACTTCAAGACGTTTCACCTAATGGACCTATAATGAAGCCCGTCGTGCACCCTCTGTATGCAGCTGAAGCTTATGAAGCAGCTGAAGCTTATGAAGTAGCTGAGGCTGAAGCAGCTGAAGCTTATGAAGCAGCTGAAGCTTATGAAGCAGCTGAAGCTTATGAAGTAGCTGAGGCTGAAGCAGCTGAAGCTTATGAAGCAGCTGAGGCTGAAGCTTATAAAGCAGCTGAAGCTTATGAAGCAGCCGAAGCTTATGAAGCAGCCGAAGCTTATGAAGCAGCCGAAGCTTATGAAGCAGCCGAAGCTTATGAAGTAGCTGAAGCTTATGAAGTAGCTGAGGCTGAAGCCTATGAAGCAGCTGAAATTTTATGAAGCTTATGAAGCAGCTGAAGTTTATGAAGCAGCTGAAGCTTATGAAGCAACTGAAGCTTATGAAGCAACTGAAGCTTATGAAGTAGCTGAGGCTGAAGCTTATGAAGCAGCTGAAGCTTATGAAGTAGCTGAGGCTGAAGCTTATGAAGCAGCTGCAGTTTATGAAGCAGCTGAAGCTTAAGGAGCAGCTGAAGCTTAAGGAGCAGCTGAAGTTTATGAAGCAGCTGAAGCTTATGAAGCAGCTGAAGCATATGAAACAGCTGAAGCTTATGAAGCTTAAGGAGCATCTGAAGTTTATGAAGCAGCTGTAGTTTATGAAGCAGCTGCAGTTTATGAAGCTTATGAAGCAGCTGAAGTTTATGAAGCAGGTGAAGCAGCTGAAGCTTATGAAGCAGCTGAAGCATATGAAACAGCTGAAGTTTAAGGAGCATCTGAAGTTTATGAAGCAGCTGAAGTTTATGAAGCAGCTGAAGCTTATGAAACAGCTGAAGCTTATGAAGCTTAAGGAGCATCTGAAGTTTATGAAGCAGCTGAAGCTTATGAAGCAGCTGAAACTCTTCAGTGTGCTTGTGTAATCACAACCTGTCTGCTCAGCACAGACATGCTGACAATCTGATTAGTGTCTGATGAGACAGAGGTGGGTCAGATTACGTTGGAAGGATTATAAATGTGTTTCTTCAATGTCCAGCCCCTCCCACAGAAGCCGAACCAGGAAGTGAAGCTGCACCTCCACCTCCACATGCCCCACCTCCACATCAGCCCCCACCCCTTCCCCATCGGCCCCCTCCGCCCCCCTCCAGCTACATCATGTCCACCACCAGCTCCTACATGTCTGGAGAGGGCTTCCAGAGCCTGCAGTCCATGATGAAGACGGAGGGGCCATCCTACGCCCCCATGCCACCCAGCTACGCACCCCCATTACCCCCATATCATCCACACGTTTACCCCCCAGCAGCAGCACCACCTCCAGGCCCCCCGCCTCCTCCCTCCACCTACCCACCGCCCACCTTACCCCCAACATATCCACCGCCAGGCTATAACAGCTACCCCCCCCCCGCCCCCTCCACGTATGCCACCAGGACACGTTCCTCCTCCAGGGATCGGGCTTCCACCCGCTGGGTATCCTCCTCCACCTCCCCCAGGACAGTCACAAGTGCCGCTACCCCCACCACCTGGAATGCCTCTGAATCGTGGGGGGTGGATGAGATGAGAAGCCACAGTTGGGGGGGGGGGGGGATAAAGCTCTGGAGACTGAAAACAACCAGGAAGCTGTCGTGTGGTTCAAACTAGAAGAAGTGGAGTTTTATTTTTGTGTGAATAAGCAGCTGGTGGGGGCGTCGGAGAAGAGCATCAGGAAAGGAGCTACGATTTTAGTGTCATGAGGTTTGTTGAAGCTGACGATGGCCATCTTCAAGATTTTCTTACAGTTTATGGTACAAATAAACATAAGGACCATATTTTGCTTTTCTTTGTCAACACGTGCTCTTTGGTTGAATTACAGCAAAACTTCCTGTTTTAGCTGAGCATGCACGTCATCATGGATCAGAGCAGAACGTTTATCTCTCGTGTTGTGGATCTGCTTCATTTCCAGATATTTTCTCTTGCCTACATGCCTCAGCACGACGGAGCTTTAGGGCCACGCTAAGAAAAAATAAAATTAAAGGCATAACGTTATGAGAATAAAGTTATATGATACTTTAAACAAAAGTCGTACGACTTTATTCTCGTAGTTTTATGGCTTTACTTTTTTTTTTTTCTTAGTGTGTCCCTAAAGGTCCGTCATACGTCAGTGTCCGAGGGGTGAAATAATAATAAAAGGGTGGTCAGCTACACTGTTGTAGGTTAAAACATAACATTGTTGCCCTTTCTTTTAGAACACCAGTTGTTGCAAGTCTTTTCTGTTACTATTATCCCTTTTTAAATTTCACTCATTTTCCCACTTGAGTCGTGGTTTAGTGAAGACGTCCTTCAGACAGTATTAAACAAATTTCAAAATAAAACTTGTGAACTTGAACGTGTTGACCACCAGACAGTTTATGTTGTATTTGAAGACCTTTCCATTTCAGCAAACGGCTTTGAGAGCTTCTAAATGTGCCTTAGGCTTTGATTTAGTTTATGACCCGTTGTCATGACAATAAAAACTTTTTTGTTTCCAGCTCTTTTGAGGTTTTTAATTCATGCAGGTGAGAAGTGGATCAGGAGTTTTGCACAGCAGAGATTCCTGAAAATTTCATATACAAAAAAAAGCCTAAAATGCAAACTCTTTTCTGACGTTTTGTCAAATTCAATTGGATCAAAGGTTTTTTATGGCTAGAAATTGCTTTTTTTTTTTTTTTACATGTTTTGTTAAATTTTAACGTTGCTTTAGTTTTTGGGGCCTTTAGTTGAAAAACAAAAGCAGCTTTAAAAGACATCTATAAAAACACATGAAACAAAGTCTCTCTGGATTTTATGAACGTGCTTCTTGGCTTCATGGAAAATTCTGTATTTACTTCTATCGACTATCGAGGAGAAAAAGTTTTCTGAAATGACCCGAATGTGAAAAGTTTGAAAATATGATTTCCACTTTGTGCAGCATGTGTCCTTGCCAGCAGAGGGCAGTCTAACCGATCTGTTTCCTTCTGGAGATCATGAAACAGTTGGCAGCATCATTAAGCAACTTGTTTATTTGTTCAAAGATTTCTAAAAGTGGCCTAAAAGTTTTTCACGTGCCAAATATTGATCGTATCAGTAAAATTCATGAGAAAAGGTTACAGTCATGCTAGCTGCTACAGGATTACACATGGATGCTGCAGACTCTACAGATCTGCGCTGTGGTTTTAGCAAAGGTGGAAAAAAAAAGGGCATTTACAAAACAGTTGTTCCAAATCAAAACGCGTTGAAACAAAACGTGGCACATCTCAAATCAAATGCCACTTGTTCGATATTCAAAATTGTACCATGGCTTCAAATCAGTTCCTAGAAAAAAAGGACACTTTTGAAAATAACACTTTTTTCCATCCGTTATTTAGGAGAACAGCTTCAGAAATGTTCTAATTTGGAACAAATATCACTAGAGATGGGAGAGAGCTGTCAGACACTGAACAAACTGGAGAGAATGGAAAAAAAAAGATTGTTCAGTTACAGGTTTACTCTCCGATCTCTAGTTTAAACGTGGCAATAAATACGCTGACGTTTTGACATCAAGAAATACTCGTTTGAAAATGCTTCACGAAGGGAAGACGTACTTCAATAAGAAACATGTTAATGCTCTGCATAAACACACCTGCTGAATCCAGGACATCAGAAAAGGTCTAATCTGGAGAAAAGTGAGCTACGTATCATTTTCACAAGTACATAAAAAACTATAAGTGCATCGAGTATTGGATGATCAAAACGTTATTGCAGTTTGTGGGGACACAATTTCTTGTATGGATTCAGAAAATGTATTTATCAGTTTTTACATTGTAACCAGGGTTCAACAGACAAATGCTACAGCTGCAATAAAAACACACACACACCCATACAGGTATTTGTGGTTTGTGAGACCCTTGTGACCTTTTGGTGGTTTACAAGGACCCAGTTTTGCCAGCATCTGGTCCACACAAAAACTGTCTCACACACACACACAGAGTCAGATAGGTGAAGGTAAAGCTGTAGCCCTCCCAACCTGAGAAAATGATTGTCAAGCATGCACACAGCATACAGTATTTGTTAGTTTCACAAAGTAATGATACCATCTGTAAATGGACCAAGCTAAATGAAAGAATCACCCAGGTCTTCATACAGTTTCATAAGTTTACATTGATAAGGGGTCATCGGGAAAATAATAATAAAAACTTAATACCAAAAAGCAAACCCTGTGTAAAGTTTCAGTTTTGCGGGTTTTAAAACTGAACTATTGATCGCATGGCCACGGTAGAATACAAAAAGATAAATCAACGGTAAGAATGAAGTAATGCTATGGTTTTATACAGAATATACACGCGTTAACAGTGATCCCTAATTGTTCAGAGGCTTATGAGCAAAAGGCGCTAGATCACAGTGGGGTTCACTTGGTTAACATTTACATATCTTACTCATTGAGCACTAGGGGGCGAGGATGGCAGGAGCTGGGGTCTCTATAGGAAGTAGTGTCAAAAGTTATCGGAGCATACGGCCACACTGGTCTCATCACTGCGGCTCGCAGACTGATCTGTCAGGTCTGTGCTCGGAACCATGAAGCACAGCGATGCTACTGAAAGCTCAAACGAAGGGCGTGTTTGTGGTTGTGAACAGAGAGCGTGTGGTGCAAAAACTGAAGCTAAAAGGGAGTGAATCGGTGAAACTAGCTGCCAGTTGTCAACTCCACCTTTTGACATAAAAACTTGTAACGATCAGAGTCCATTCTGAGCCAGTCCTTACAGAGGGGGAGGTTTGAGGGAGCGCTCAGTGTCGTGGACAGTAGGGTCATGTAGGCAGTTAGTAAGGTGGTGGTTTGGGGGTGAGCGTAGATCCTGATGGGTTTTGCAGTCATGTTGCCTGTTGCCATGCTACAGCGGACCCTTGAACTGGTTCCCAGAGAGGTGCTGTCTGACGGACAGCTTTGATCCCGCAGCATCACCCAGTTTTCGCCACACCACCTGCAAACAGAAAGAGAAGCTGAGTATGGGGGGAAACATTTTGAGCTACAAAGACCGCAAACACATACATATGAGACCATATAGTGAAACTACGGTACCTCTGTGCTCCTCTCTGTGAGGTTTTCTCTACCACTGATTGAGACGGGGCCCCTGGGGGACCTCGGTGATATTACAGAGGCACTATTGTGGTGCTACCCAGAATCCTGGCCTGTCACATACCTCTGCAGGGTCCTGATAGCCAAACTTTCTTTCTCTCCCTAATCAGCAGACCTTTTATTTAGGACAAGGCCTTTTCAGTGCCAACAGAGAGCAAGAGGGAGAGAAATGAGGGGCAGCGGGGAGAAGAACTAGATCAGGAGGGCTGTGTGGTGGGAGGGGTGCTCTTTTCCCTGTCGTTCCACTTTAATTGCTCTGACAGCTCAACTATGAGCCTCTGCTGAGTGTTTCCAGTATGTTGAGCTGGCTTTGGAGCAGGGAGTAACAGACAAATAGAAGGATGGACAGAAAGAAAGAAAGGGAGTAAGATACGGTATGCCCAGAAATGCATCATCTAAAGGCGCATGAATGAGAACCATATTAGCTCATAGAAAAACCTGCACACAACAAAAACAAAAGTTTAAACTGGTCATGGGTGATTATCTTTCAGCTGGCAACAAGTTATTTAACCCCAACTGGTGCAATGAGATGCTTCTCATTTCTTGTTGAAAGACACATCACATGGTCGTAGAAAAGATGTCAGTCTGTTTGAGAAGGGTCAAATCATTGGCATCAAGCAGAGAAAACATCTAAGGAGATGGAAGAAACTTCTAAAACTGGGTTAAGAACTGTCCAACACATTATTAAAAACTGGAAGGATAGTGGGGACCCATCGTCTTCAAGGAAGAAATATGGCCGGAAAAAAATCCTGAATGATCGTGATCGGCGATCATTTAAACGTTTGGTGAAATTAAATGGAAGAAAAACAACAGCAGCACTCAGGGCTATGTTTAATAGTGAAAGTGAGAACATTTCCACAAGAACAGCTGTGTAGCCTTAAGAAAACCACTAACCAGTGAGGCTAACTGGAGAAAAAGGCTTCAATTTGCTAGGGAGCATAAAGATTGGACTGTGGAGCAATGGAAGGTCATGTGGTCTGATGAGTCCAGATTTACCCTGTTCCAGAGTGATGGGTGCATCAGGGTAAGAGGAGAGGCAGGTGAAGTGATGCACCCATCATGACTAGTGTCTAGTCATCAACGCAAGATCTTGGTGAAAAATTAATGCAGCACTGGATGGAAATAGATCTTGTGACATCGAAGAAGCTTATCGAGACAATGCCACAGTGAATGCATGATGTAATCAAAGATAAGAAGGTCCAATGAAATATTAGTGTGACCTTTTTTTTTGGTGGCAACTTTTTTTGGGGGGGCCAGGCAGTGTATAATAGCTCTGATCTTGACTGAATTTTAAACTGAGACAGCTAATTGGTTCTCTAGCTGGACAACTCCGTCCATACCGCCAGTGATTACTCACATTACCTCAAAAGGACGTAAGATTTAATTTATGTGATATGTAGGATAT